TGTCGAAGCGATAACATCTAGGTAGGTTTTATAGGCTTTAGTGCTTTGTACGAAAAAAAAAAACTCTCATCACGTTATTTCAGACACAGGATTCGCCTTAACAATATAGCGTCAATGCACTGTTTATGCATTTTATTTTATAGACATTAAACATGGTTTATATTATAGGACTTCTCGTTTGTGAGTGATTTGCAGACTTTACTGGAATCGTCCGATTACGCACCTTTAGTAATCAATGGGTGGTATAGCGAATTCGTATGAAAAACAGATGCAATTGTTTACAAATCAATAAATAGATTTATTTTATTTATTTTTTGGATAATAAAAAAAGCTCCGGATTTTTTTTTTTATTTAATTAAAGATGTCGGTAGACAATTTCTACAAGAAATCTAAAAAACTATAAAGAATTGATTAAAAGTTCTAAACAGATATTTTATTTTCAATATTTTATACCAACTAAATTTAATTTTATTGACATGTTTTTGGTGAAGATTTAACTTCCATGTGTGCAAAATATGCTTTTGAATTCAGCGATTTGAACAATTTAAATGTACATTTGAAATATGTTCACGGCACTAATGAAGGTGGGTGGTTTGTACTGCTTCGAAATTAAAGTTTTTATTATGTTTTTTAAGATTTTAGCGTCTTTTATATTACAAAGTAAGTTTTAGAGTCTATTAAAAATATGCCTTGAAAGATTTCTAACACATTCGCAAGAGCTATCATTTGAATGCCCAAGATACTCTTGTAGCTATAAGACGAATGATCCATCTACAAAATTCTAGAAGTTCCGTTTCACAAAGCTAACAGTAGTTAGAAAGAAAGGCTTGCTAAGATCTATGTTTTATTATAAATTTTTACATGACCGAGCGGAAGACGTTGATACGACAGAAGCCATGATTCCGTGTCTTCCAGTTTATGTACCACTCCTCCAAATTTTTTTTCTAGACACATTTCCTACATTCTTACTTCGTGTGATGTTCTTTTTCCTTCCTTTCCTCGCTTATTCTCTAAAGCGCGCATAGATTATACATGCGACAGCTGTTTATGAACAAACACTTTTCAATAATTGGCCTCTGTAAGTACTGATCTAAGTAAGCAAATGCATAGCCTTTTATATAAGAGTTATATTTTCTAACCCTCAACCCATAAGTGTTGTTGTTAATAACAGGAACCCTTATTTGACGTTCAGTATCTAAACTTTGTTGGTATACTCAATATTTACCTAACTAGTTTTGCTAGAAATATTAAATAAATTTAAACTAAAAATGTCGCAACAAATTTTTAAAAATGTGGTGAGTTTGCTAAGAAAAATGTTTCGTATTGCACAATTACTACAAAGTGGTAGAAATTTTCGAAACATTGCTGTTAAATCAGAATTTGAGGCTTGTTAAGTTAGAACATTAGCATTATCAGCTGATTTCTATTGACATTAACTTGAATGACTCTAAATAAACCCAATTGCGTAAAATGAAGCAAAAATTCCAAAATGCAATTTAACACAATAACGAAGCGTTATTTAAGCACGGCAAAAATATGCATCGTAGGCGCGGGTCCTGCTGGTTTCTACGCTGCTCAATATTTGCTTAAACATTTAAAAGACTGCCAGGTAGACCTTATTGAAAAATTACCGGTACCATTTGGCTTAGTACGGTAAGCTTGAAAAAAACAGAAAACAAAAAAGATTATATATTTTCCTTTTTTCAAACGCAGTTTTGGCGTAGCGCCTGACCATCCTGAGGTGAAAAATGTTATTAATACCTTTAATAAAACAGCCATGAGCCCGCGTTTTCAATTCTTTGGCAATGTTTCTTTAGGAAGGGATGTGACTCTGCAGCAGTTAAGGAGTTGGTACCACGTAGTTTTATTAACATACGGGGCTGATAAGGATCGTCAATTAGACATTCCAAATGAAAATGAAAAGACCGTTTTGTCCGCACGTGAATTTGTGGGTTGGTACAATGGTTTGCCTGGAGCTGAAAACTTGCAACCAGATTTAAGTGGCGACAGTATAACTATTATCGGGCAGGGTAATGTGGCCATTGATGTCGCTCGAATATTATTAAGGCCTATAGATGACTTGAAAGTAAGTACCTTAGATTCGAAGCGCTGGCACTTAAAATATCTTTATTTCAGAAAAGCGATATAACTTGTTATGCATTAGATGTTCTTGCATCAAGTAAAATAAAAAAGGTGTATTTGGTGGGTCGTCGTGGTCCTTTGCAAGTTGCTTTTACCATCAAAGAATTAAGGGAAATGCTTAAATTACGTCGCGTTTCTACCATTTGGAAATCTGAAGATTTCGAATGCATAAAAGAGATAGTTGACACACTGCCGAGAACTCGTAAGCGTCTAGTAGAACTGATGCTAAAAAGTCTAAATGAGCAACAAAAAATACAAGTTAAAAACGATAAACAATTCCTTCCGATATTTTTGCGTTCTCCTAAATTTCTCAATGGACGTGAGATGACATTTACCATCAATAAACTAGAACAAGGCCGGGCGTTGCCGACAAACGGTACTGAAATGGTCAAAACTGATTTGATATTGCGCAGCATAGGTTACGAACCATCATGTGCTGATGCCGGTATACATATAAAATCTGGATGTGTATCTAATGAGAATGGACGCGTTGTAAGTTGTAAACATGAGCACACCGTGGATACGGGTTTATATGTAGCGGGATGGTTAGCTACTGGCCCGAATGGTGTTATTTTAACGACTATGAATAATGCTTTTATGGTAGCCAAAGCAATATGTGATGATATTACAATTGGGAATTTAAAAGTAGAAGAAGCAAAGCCTGGTGTAGCCGAGTGGTTAAAGACTAAAGCAGTGGTAAAGTGGGAAGGTTGGAATAAAATTGACCTTGAGGAAGTGAAACGTGGTCAACTGGTAGGGAAGCCTAGAGAAAAAATAGTAAAAATTGATGAATTGTTAACAGTAGCAAGCCTGTAACAGTGATTTCTTTGTCATATAAGTAAGTAAGGCTACGGATGCGGTGATGGTAGAGACTGTGTACTGAATCATAATAAAAAGGATATTGAAATTTAAGCATAAATTTGCGCAACGGATTGAAATCTATTGAATATGTATTTACTTTCATATGTTCGTTAATTCTTGTGTTATGCTCTTTTCATTTTTTATGGTTGCAGGCACTCGATCAGATAGTTTGAATTTTAGACAGATTCTTTTCTACGGTGTGCAGAAACGATGTGAGCTTAAGTTAGCAGTAATGCCTTATAAACCAATGCAAAAAAAAAGACGATTTGAAATCATGCGATTTACGAAAAATTTGTTTTTTTCTTTAAACTAATCATTATTTTATTTCTCCTTTTATATATCAGTTAAAATTATAAAAGGGTATTTACAAAAATGAATATGATTCTAAGTCAGCTCGGCGAAATTTCGCGTCTCAAAGTGGTGCTTTAAAATCATGAAGGTTCGTTTAGCCGAGACTTTCCTGTTCAGTTAATATTATAACTCTTGCGGCAATGTTGACGTAATCTAGATGTAAAATTAACAGCTGTCGTAGTTTAGGTGTTCGCAGTTGTACAAATCGTGATTAGTGCGTCTTTTTTGAATAAACGATCACAATGTATACATTTGTCAGGGGTTATACGCTATGCTATCACAATTCCAAACAACTGAGAACACGTTAATAAATCATAAGTTTACCCATAAGAATCAGTTTGTTCTCCAGAATGTCACTGAGCTAAATAAATGCCAAGCATTTTATGAAGTATTTTGAAAATATCTGGAAATTGTATTGTATTGAGCTTTTTTAGAAGCAATGCTGTATTATCTGAAGGCATCACCAAACAGATAAAAAAATCGATGGAAAAAGAGCAAAAGCGACATCGTAAATGTGCACACACACGCACAGTAAGTATATTGTAACATAATTATAGATTTTTGAACAACATTCATGTTTTCTCTGCCTTGACAGAATTAGAAAGCAAGCAGATATTGTTCAGCTAATTGATTATCAGCCCACATTGAGGAAAGTAGGAAAAAGCATAACGTCCAATGATTTTAAAAATAGTTTCGACACATCTGATGATGATGACCTGTAAAATATATTTACTTGATCATAAAGTAGAGCGAAGCTCCATTCACCGTTTTTCAACTTACATACATATGTATAAATCTCTAATTTTCACAAGATAATTAGATATAAAGACCAAAAAACCTTTAACTGAAATTTGTCATATAGCCCGAGTGTTCTGGTATAAGTATAGATATATGCTGTACCGAAAGGAAAAGAAGACATATTGCAATTTACTCATTTTCATTTATATATGCCGTTTATCATTTCGCTTCTGCAACAATCAATATGTGTCGACAAAATGTTAAGTTAATAGTTTTCAGCATCATTTGTCGTTTGTTCCGATCTACTGCAGAACGCACCAACGCATTTTTGCACATCTTCAACTTTGCCAGCCAAGGCATCTGCACCGATCTGAACAAGTGGTAATCAGAAGACGCCATGCCTGCTGAGAATTTCCATTTCGAGCTGCAACAGAGTGTCCTGGACAACTCGTATAAATTGAGTAAAAGTACTCGAGCAGTTTTTATAAAAATTATCCAGCATCACTTGAATATCACGGTCAGCAACTAGAACATTTTTGGATTCATTACAGATGGATTGTTGAAAACGCGCACCGAATTCCAAAGAAAAACTTTAATTTGCATCGATCCAAAAATTAAACGTCTATTCGAAATGAATAAAACCTGTAGCATGCTACGAGACAATATGCAGTGGCCCGACTTACGACTGAATTCTATAAAAAAGTTCTGAAAAAACGTAAAAAAATTTACGACAGAAACAACACTTGGCTTCTGAATTATTAAGAGCTTACCAAAGCAGTGCAGTACTCACGCATACGTATAATTTTACATGAATATTCCAAACGCTGCACTAATTCTTCTAGGAACATTAAGCTAGAAAGGCGATCACGTATTTTAACACTACGAGGAAACGTAGGTGGCTGGCTGCGATCATGAATGCCCGTTGGATTAGGACACACGGCTTAAATATGGAAAGTATTTTCGTATTTCTCCTTTCTTTGGTTATTTTCTCTTTATCTTACTTGGAGGCCGGTATAGGTTGTGTACCTTTTTCCATGGTTTTTTTGATCTGCGGTATTAGCTCTAAGGAAGCATTCAAATGTTTATAAATCCCATTGATATTGCCTTCACCGACAGAATTAGTCATGGCATAGTCAAATAAATACAACGATTGATAGAAATGATGCATAAAACGTAAACGATGTACAACGGCCATTATATCTTCGGCTGATTCGATGATTTGCTATGTCCTCACTTTCTTTTAACAGTCCACCAATTGACGACCCTGACGGCGATTCTTCGTTGGCCAACAGCAATGAATTACCATATAATTCAAAGTCCTCTTCTTTGTAAACGCTATTTGAGATAATGACATTTTTAATGTGTATTATTAAATGGCGTATCGCGTGGCCAAAGGACCGCAATGCTTTGTCTTCAATTTTAGCTGGAGCGTGTAAATATAAACATGTGAATAGCACTTGATCCACGGAATTACCCTCCAACCAAGAAACCATATTAGCAAACAACGCGTCAAAAATTAATAGAGTGAACATTGCCTTAAAATATAATTTTCTTGAAGTAAAAAACTAAAAAAAAAAATATGGTGTATTTTTTGCAGCCGGAAGACGATTTTAGTTACTCCTGGTAAGCTCACACTTTAGTTAATAATATAATATTTATAATTAATTAGCACTCCTAATTAGGTTTATAACAAACCTTTGAGCGACAAAAGCGACGATGCAATTGCTTGCATTATCATAATAGGAATGATGTGGGGAGGTTATTCTCGTCGCCGTAAATAGAACCAGCGGTGTTGATTAATATCTTTTTATAAAAACTGATGTGTCGATGGATTATTTTTGATCATCTCCGACTATATGTATTATATTGACGTCGAGCAATTTAAAGTTAATGTTAGCATGAATCCTGACATATTTGACCGTCTTCACAGTGTACGATGCGAGCTAAACTTTTACGACGGTGGGACTATGTACCATTTTGAGTATGGGAGACACTTAGTACAAAATCGATTAGAACTGCTTTGAACTAAAGTCACCACAGGCGCGAACATCTAATTTTATGAAAATACATGATAGGTGGCCGCGCAAAACAACAAGGTTATCGGAAAATAACGTCAGTGGAAGGAGATTTTACAGTAGCTAACCTGGGACAATAGGGCCACTCGTTTGTTGCTATCTGTATTCTATTTGCTTTTTGTTGTCCCTAACCGCCCGAAACGTCATCGAAGACAGTGGTTCCAAAAATTGTTCGGAGATAACGACTAAACTGAGCTTGCCATTCCCTATCCGTGAGTCAAAAAAAAAATGCTTGTCTGTAAAGTCAAACACAAAGGGATATTTCGTTAAAGATCTGTTACCTCTTTGGCTGCTGTAAGAGAAATGAAAGACTAAGCGTGTTGTGACACTCTCTTTTGTAGTCGCTATCACGACCGTTGTCCCGTTATACAGTTGGCTGGCACGCATTATATGGTGTTCCAATACCAATTCACCTTAAAACGTTCCCTTATTATTTGAATGTTATTGTTATGCAATACATAAAATATATATGTAAATGATATCGACAGTATAATTTTATTTAAAAGGGAAAATTGTTGATTCTCATAAAGGTCGTGGTCGTAGCTGTGTACTATTTTTTAAATAGAAAAGGAAAAACAGTACATTCTCGCTTAAAGCACATTCCTTAGTAGTTATTCTTAACTACTTAACTTCAGCGAAAATCATCTCAAATTATAGTCTTTGCCATACTACTTAGAACATATACATAACCATTTTCATGATAAAAAAATGTGCAAACCATTGTTAACCATTTATAGCCGCGTCAAACGTTGATACTAAAGCAAAGCCAATCTACTGACACAGATTTAAATCGATATGTTCATATCACATAGCTTCATTCTGTTCTTGCATATATATATATATATATCAACGTTTCCTATCGACAAGCTTTGAAAAGTAAAGGGCAAACTCTTTGTTCTGGCAATTTAATGAGCGGGCCTGAAATCCACCTCGATTCACAGTCATGTGAGAGTAATGAAATAATAAAATAAATGAAAGGTGAGAGACGATGGACAAATTTTCGTACATATCGAAAAAGGATTATCTTTTAGAATTGTGTATATGAACTCTATTAAACTATTTCATTTTACGTTGCCACTAGTAGGGACACGAAGCATTTTAATTTGTTGTTCTGTTATCGAAAACCCTGGTAGTTTGTTTGATGTTGGGCTTTGTTTTCTAAAATTAGAAAATATTCCCTGCATTGAAATCTTGTTGACGGCAGACATTTAGCGAATAAAGCTTAAAAACACACAAAGTTTGCAAACAAAATCTAGGAGTAAAATGGTTATCATAGTGAACAGTTTGCGGGGCCAACTAATGTCGTTAGTGAATTTTTCTGGAACCCACAAAGAACAAGCTGATCGACATAGGCAACTTTTGGAGGTTGTGTTAACAAATTCAGGTGTCGAACTCGTAGACATGTTAAAGCTATTTGTGGAAGCGATAGTCAATGAGCATGTCAGTCTAGTGATATCTCGCCAAATATTAAATGATGTGGGTATGCAATTAGCTAGGCTGCCGAATGAAGTATCTAACGACGTATCATATTTTGCAGTGGAAAAGGTTCAGCCACGTGTTATAGCATTTGAAGAGCATGTAGCAGGCATATGCCAACATTTAGGAGAGATTTAAGAACGAAATCAACAATGGCGAGAAGTAGCAATTGTGTTAGTGGGCATACCTTTGGAGAGACAAGCCACAAGCAATATACCGTATCATACAAACTGGAGACTTATTTGAAAATTGCTCGTCGCTATCTTAGATGCAACACTTTTCAATGTTTTTATTTGAAGACGATTTTTTCCCCGTCGGGATAGAGAAACGGACATTCTTAAATCGATTCATAGTTTGACCTTGAGTTTCTCCATAGCTTCAATAAAACTAGAATTTTGCCAGAGTCTCGAACAAAGGATGAGTGAACTAAGCCAGTTAGCAGGGATATGTGGCACTTTGAGGAAGCTTCCACCAAGATGGCTTAGAGTTAAAAGCTGAAACCAATAATGAAGAGATGCAGGTAAGTAATTACTACGTTTTTTACGCATCCGTGTGGTAATGGCAGTCTTTATAGATTTTGTTTAAAGTATGCTATGCGCGTGTTTTGGACTATAGACGTAAATTTATAGAGGCCGCTCAACGTTATAATGAATTATCGTACCGTTCAATAGTGGATGAAGGTGAACGCATGACTGCTTTGAAAAAAGCATTAATTTGCACCGTCCTGGCTTCAGCGGGACAACAACGATCACGCATGTTAGCTGCTCTGTTCAAAGGTGAACGTTGCCAGCTATTACCGGCTTATTCAATACTTGACAAAATGTACCTTGATCATATTATACGACGTTCGAAACTGTACTGCAACCTCATGGTGGTTCTACTCTATTCGATTGCGCTGTGTTTGAACATAACTTACCTTTGGTAAGATGAATCATAATCCTCAAAAGTAAAGCTTAGGCTTGTTAAGTATTTTTTGGAAAACGGATCACATTGCGTGGTAAAGAAGAAAGGTGGTTCTCTTGTAGAACACCGGGTTTCATCGATACACGTTCAGAATAATAGGATAGCTTTAAAACCAATTTATATTGACTTCAAACTTAGTGGATCATGACGTAAATCAAATGAAGTGCTTTACTAATTTCCTTATAAACAAGATCTGTGTCGACGCCACTTTGAAAGAAATCAAAGATATAACAAGCGAATTCCAAGAGATAGATTATCTACTGCCAGCCTTACGTAACCGTGAAATATGGCATTTCCATATATCAGGAAAAGTTCAACTAGCTGGACACGTGTTAAACATATTTGTAACTGGTTTGACGAAGATATTTGAAAATTCACAAAAATACGCGAAAGAATACGAAAGAATTCTATCCAAAAAAAAAGCAGGAAAATTTTAGTCCATAAAGAAGAAGAGAATAACATAATTGTCAATATGATAGATATAGTTACCCACATCCTTATAAATGTGGGCAGAGTAAGAAGTTAAAACCTTGCAAACAAGCTAGAAATTGCCTGTCGCTCAGATCCTCCAGTATCGTTAAGACGCATATGCGACAGTAACCCACAAACTCTTCTTTTACATTGCACAATACTGTATAGTGTTCATTTAAAGTTCAATTTTATCTTCTGCAAGAAGTTTGAGCAAATATTTATTATTAGTAATTAAGGATCTATATTTAGCGGTAATGTAAGAAACAGTAAAAACCGGTATGTAGCTTGTAGCTTTATGCAAACGAATAAACATTCAGTATCGGATTCAAACTTTATGTTTGTAAAGCTAGAACCAAAGTTGACAGATACCACTAGATTATTAATGCGATCGCATATATATTGCACTGTGTATAGTTTACTTAGGGATAAAACTTCAGAATATAATCCTGAACAGTTTAACATCTTATTCGTAAACAACGCGATATTGTAATTTAAAGAATAACTGTCAATGAACGATCTAAATAATTTTGTATTAATTGGTTAATTGTTTTGGTAGACAATAGATGAATTAGTTTGATTTACCTTTCGATTTCGGCTGTTCGTCAAGAGTTGGAGGATGAACAGCTCGGGGTGTTTTTTATGCGTGTACTCGCGAACGAATATGTTTGGAAGCCAGAAATTATAGCCAATTATAGTGCCGCTTAAATAACGAGCTTGTGGGACTGTAAAAAAAGTTATATTTAAACGTTCCGATCTCATTATCGGGGTCAAATTCAGATGTGATAATGTAATATTCCTTCCGTAAATATGGATCGTCTGAGTTGAATTAGAATCAGATTTTTAATTTTATTGCTATAGGATTATTAAGGCAGTTGGCGACGGATAAGTTGTAAGCACTTCCTTTGGTACCTCAGTCATTGCGAAAGAGGATTGGTTCGTTAAATGAACCGATTCAATTATTTCTCGCTCGCCATTGGCATTGTCATCACCCATTCTGTTGGAACCAGAACTTGAATGAGCTCTTTTTTTAGAAGCAGTGGACTTGTTTTTACGCATCTTTTTACAAAGAGCTTTTGGATATTGAGCTTGCCCTTTTCCTTATAAAAAGGATCGCACATAGCGCCGAATGTGTTTTTCATCATATTTACTTCACCTATGAGGGCTCCTACTGTTTTGTAGACACGCGGAATAGTTATCACAGCACCAATACATTTTCCGCCCAAACCACGCCTTTTGTTTTTAATTCTTCTCTTCTCCGGATACACAATGTACCATCTAAAGCAGTCAGTTAGAATAGTGCTTCGGTCATGTCTTTAATGCATTAATCTCCATTAACGCACTCATTTGCGGTATAAAAAACGCATCATTAGCGGTTATTGAATGTAGCAGACCACATATAGGATAATTATCGGACGGTTGTAATATATGAGAGCTGCGCATAGAGGTCCATGCCCGCAAAATCTTGGAGGCGCACATCGTGATCAATAGAATTTGAAATACATGTTGTGTTAGTATTGGGTGTTCAGAGTTACATAAGAAAAAATAGACGTAGTAGAAAAAGAAAAACAAAAACGTTATGCGGGTATTATGTGGATGTATACATTTTCCTTAATATGGATATCTTAGCTGCACCTCATTCGTCTTAATGTTTTATAACCTTCACTTTATCATAAGAAAGATTAAAAAAAAGAAAATTAATATTCCATACACTACAACATTGCGTGGGCGTGATAGAATTTTTCTGTTTTTATAGAATAAAAGTGGAAATTTATATCGTGAGGATATGGCGCTCCTCGTTCTAACCTTTGGGGTCCTTCATGGTGAGCCCTCGCCTTACCAGCAACAAGCGTGCGGGCGATCCTATGGGGCCCAGCTGGCGCGTCAATAACCCCCCCCCCCCCCTCTCCAACTTGTAACGATCGCTCTGGTTTGGCTTATTTGACATCACGGGCGTTTATTCTTAACGTCGTCTTGTTACGACCCGCCCTTTGGGTGCCTGATCCTTCGGTATCATCGTCCGTTGTGGTGTCTCCCATTAGTGAACAGGCATGGTCTTCGGAAATATGGTAGGACATAGCTTCCTCGACTAGGACCCCTCGCACTCAGATGCAATTGGCTGTGGCGAACATGCATCACCCGCAGCGCTTGTCAGACTAGTTGCAGTGTCAGACAACTCAGTGTGGTTGCGGTGGTTTCTCGTTGCTGCTTTTTCGGTAAATGAAGTATAGAGTCCCGTAACCCGTCTATTCCGACTCCCCCTTCCGGTTGCGCGCGGTAGACATACTCGTTGCGGTAGGAAGCCGTCACTACCCCCATGTATCGCGCATAGGTGCATCCACGCTGTCGTCGGGTACCCAGATGGGCGCCGTCAAAGCTCCAATGTCTCTTCGCTCATTCCCGGCTACGGGTGTGAGAATACTCCGGAAGTGCCCTCATACGTTGGCCGAAATCGTTGATATCGAGTCTCCAGTTCCCGGAGAACGTTTTCACGGCGTTCGCCCCAGACAAAGTCGTTTGATCGGTTTCTAAAAGAATACGTAAGAAATAAACTAACGAATTGCCACTAAGGCACATAATCACTTTAAAGGCATAAGAAAAGGAAAGGAATATACTTAGGTTAATTCGGATGGGATACAAGTTGTACCAACTTTAATTGGTCAAAGTTGAGTCTGTGCGTTGTACGATTAGTTCGGTCACCTTTTGGAGTCAGAATTACCTAGTTACGGCGTATGGTCCCACATAACGTGGGGCTAACTTGGAGGCAAATCGATCGGCGGCTTTTAACAATCGACGACGCTTGACCATCACGATTGCTCCTATTCGGGGTTTCTATATTCTTTGTGTCAAGTTCTAATATCGTCTTTGCTTCTGACTATTCCATGTTTCGATGTGTGACATTTATAGTCTGTTATAGTCACGTTGAGAAGGGTGCATCACCACGTTGAAATTGTTTGAGGGAATTATTACTCAGCATTTGGCTTTTGCTATTAAATCCTATGTTTCTTCATTCCAGCAAGGCTTCTGGAAAGGAACATCTACAGTTACGAATATTTTGGAGTTTACTTGCCATGTTTTCAAGGCTTTCTCTAGCATTTGGCTTAGTTAACCATAACTTATTGATCTTCAAACATCAGGCCGCTTTTCTTTCTACTTAGTGAAATGTATACGCTCCTCTCTGCATAACAGATAGTTCAGGGTTCTCTTAGTTTCATCACCTTGTATGAATTTCCTGTGACGTCTGGCGTCCCTTAAGAGCACTTAGGACCCCTTTCATTTATTTTACACATCAATGTTTTTCCATCGACGATTTTTTTTTTTTGGTATGTTGAACGGAGATGGACTAAGCCAATAGATTTGTGGCTTATATGTCCAGATAATAAACTGTTGTAATTTTTAGTCACGGTTATATATAAAACGTAACAAAAAAAAAAAGAGCGGCCGAAATAATTGGAGTGAGCATGTTAAATGTAATTGAGAGTGTGTGTGTAAATGTGCTTGTTGAGTTCTTGAAAGTCAGACAAACTTTGTTGCAAACTTTGGATGAAAACGAAAAGGAATGTTATGGTATTAGAAAATGATTGAACGCAAAAAAAGAGAAAAAAAAGGAAAGAAGAGGAAAAAGAAAAATTCTAAAAGGATAAATTGGCTTTTCTAATAAAGCAAGTTAGTTCCCCTAGATGACGTACACTTTTTGCTGCAAAGAGATCTAGGAGGCAGCCATATAACTTGAAGAAGCTAAAGGAATCTCTAATGCCATCAAGCTTGTGACATCTGAAGATTAGATGCTCAGCAGACTCAACAACATTGCAAACTTCACAAACATCACATGGTATAGCGCGAATCATTTTTAAATAAACTTTGTCATAAGTATGACCACTCATGAGTCTATAAAGAATTTTGATTTCCCAGGAATTAAAAGAAGATACAGAGAAGGGTTTGAATTGAAATGTGGGATTTAATTTATAGAAAAGGCGATTGGATTTAACGCGCGCGATTTCTTTAAATTCGTCGTTTAGCTGTTGAAGGATGTGGTTGCGAATTGCCCGGATTGCTTCATTGGGAGTGTATTTGACGGACAAAATTATCCCATCAACACGAGCTCTCCCTGCATGAAAGTCGGCTTTTAAATTAAAAAAAAAACCGCAGTGGCCAGGTATCCAAACAAGGTGACAGTCATCCACTTGAGTCTCATGCAACATCTTATGAATATCAAACACATATTGATTCTCTGTATCTCTTTTAGTTATTAGAAGTAGAGCTGAGTTGCTATCAGAAAAAAGAACGAACCTTTTGATGCCATCAGAGATATCAACCTTAAAGTATATCTGAAGGCGAGCAACTCAATAAAAGTTGCGGAAAGTTCCTCCGCCACTTTAACTCGATGTACTGTTTCAGATAGATGTTTCTCGACCGAGAAGCCAGATACATTATGTCCGA